AGTGCTTCTACGTGGTTCTTCTTTATTTTGTTTGCGTTATATTAAGAGATGTGTTTTTATGATATCATCGGAGATATTATTCTCCTTTTTATGTACTTAATTTCCACTCTTTTTTTAATTCAAAAGCTCAATTATATTCAATAACGATATGCAAAAGTTTTCCCCTATTCAACAATAACATTTAAAGTTAAAGCTAAATAATTAAAATGAATAAGTTCTCAGGAGTATCACATGATAAAAAAAAATATTATGGAAACCTGAAAGATAATTTTTTATAAAAATAAATTAAACAGAGCTATATAATATGGATTTGAGTGTTGAGGCATAAAAAATTAGTCAATCATATCCAAGTGGAAAAAAAAAATGCCAACATCAATGTGCGGTAAAGTAGGAAAAGAAGAACGTCGTATGAAATGATTATATAAAAAAGCCAACACTACTAGCACATATTTAAGATTAGATGGTTTAGGTATGTATCATAGAAACAGAAGATACACCATTCAGATGGGTGAATATACTAACTTAGAAGGAATAGAAGTAAAATGGGCATACTAAAAGTAACATCATAAAGTTTGTACAAAAATAAAAAAATAAGTTGTCGTCTCATATAATACTGAGCAAGAATAAACGGAGCATATAAATCATAAATTTGATCCAAAACAGTCAAGATAAAGCTAATGATGATGATGATGATGATGAGCAATCATCATAATCATCATTTTTACTTGGAATATATTAAACCCAAATTTGTCCTTTGGCTCGTGTCCAAGGGATAGAACGCGGAATCGGATGGAAGGAAAAAGAGAAAGAGAGAAATAGTTGCCTCGTGGGGGAGGTAAAGGGGTGTTCTCAGACTCTTTGGCCCATTTTACTCCACACAAATGAAATTACAATGTGAGGGTGAGGGAGAGAGAGCCCCCATTTATACATACCAAGGGTCCTCTAATTATAGAAGAGGACAATAGGAAAAATAATATTACAACAATGCCCTTGCTTTGAGGATGGCACTACATGGTATTTTGGTACTTCTGTCATTCCGAGAAGTTGGAGTATGTTGAAGTTGGGTGACCGACCTGAGGAGTTGGTGTTGGGTGACCAACCCGAGGAGTTGGTGTTGGGTGACCGACCCGAGGAGTTGGTGCTGGGTGGCCGACCTGAGGAGGCCGACACGAGGAGCTGGAGTTGGGTGGCCGACCCGAGGAGTTGGTGCTGGTTAGCTGACCAAAAGAGGTTGAGCCGGAGTGGTCAACTTGAGGAGGCTGACCCGAGGGGCGGCATATTATTTTTTTGGTTATACATAGAGCCACAAATTTTATACTTCTTGGAAGTGAAGCTGCGATAAAAATGAAAAACTCATAAGTACAGAATATACTATTTCATAAGCCACTAATTGGACTTGGTTTTATAACAGTCATTTCATTGGCCTTTGATGAGTAGATTTTTTAGAAGAATATTAGTTGAGTAATTTAGATTTTTAGATATTATATTCCGTGGATAGATTTTATAGAAGATTTTTTATTTACTATCCTGCATAAGAGGTTTGCCGACCCCTTTTTTTTCGCTCGTCCCGGATGAGAGTTTCGTTCGCTCGTCCCGTTTTTGCTCGTCCCGGATGAGAGTTTCGTTCGCTCGTCCCGGAGGAGAGTCTTAAGTGAGAAATGAGTGATATTATTTTTTAATTTTTTTTTTCTTTTTTTATTTATTTATTTCTTCCTTCTTAATAAACGGTAAGTAAATAACGGAAGGAGAGGAAGGACCTTATCGCTTTTGTTCTCCTGTACGTGGCCTTCCTTCTTCTTTTTCTTTGTTTTCTCTTTTTTCCTTCTACTTTATGTCATATCAGCTTTTTATTTTTTTGTTTTTTTGTCCTTTCCTTTTTGGCTTGCAGCATCCACTTTATGCCTTGTCACGTCATGCCTTCATCTTCTTCTTCTTTCTCTTACTTGGGCTTTCTTTGACTCGTGAGACTTGTCTTCTTGTTGGCGGCGCGATCCACGCTTAGCACAATTTTTAGGGCGTTGAACCCAAATTTGTCATTTGTCTCGTGCGCAAGCGATAGAATATAGAATCCAAGGAAAAGAGAAAGAGAGAAAGAGTTGCCCGTAGGGGGCAAAGAGGGTTGCTTCAGGACTATTTGGCCCATTTTATTCCACACAAATGAGATTACAATGTGAGAGTGAGGGAGAGAGGAACCCCTCTTTTATACATGCCAAGGGTCCTCTATTTATTGATAAGGATAATAGGAAAAATAATATTACAACAATGCCCTTGCTTTAAGGAGGGCATTACATGGTGTTTTAGTACTTTTGTCCTTATGAGGTATTAGAGTATGTCAACGTTGGGTGGCCGACCCGAGGAGGCCAAGCCGAGGAGTTAATGTTGGGAGGC